CTTCCTAGTCCCTAATGCCTGCAGGAACATCCTCGTCTTCCTATTCCCTACCCTGGCAAAGCCTCGTCAGTCAGTGAACAGGCGAGAAAGGAGAGAGATGGGACAGATCCGATGACTTAAAGGGAGGCTTGGAGAGCCAGGCTAGAGATCAAGCCAGTCACACCCCAGGCACCCAGCAGGGTCGGCCTCTGCCTGCTCCACTCCCTCCCATCAGGTGTTTCTACGTCTTGAATGAAAACGTCATGTTTTACACACAGATAAAAGGGGCTAAAGAAATCCGTCACGGCTGCCCTGAACAGCCTGTTTGCACAGTACAAGCTCTCTAAAGGCATCGTGCTTTCACGAGTGGCATCTCGGTTGCAGTTTGGATCCAACATGTGGCTTTTATCCTTTTAAATATTCCAGAGCCTTTAGGTATTTGCTTTTAAACTGTTGGACTAACGATGCCCTCTTACCCATGCTGAAGTGAAAACAAACATAAGAAGTTAAATAAAAGGAAATTTCAACACTTGATCAGATAGTTATTTTCTCCCCTCCGAAAAGCAAGCTTAAACCAAATCAGGCTGCCTGATTATAGCTGAAAATATTTGTAAAAAGACACACCCTGTTTCAGCTGAGACTTTTGGTAGCATTTTGCACAAACAGGGACTGAATATCAACCTTTTCACATCGAAACCTTCAGCACCCTTCACTGTGTTATCACCCAAACCTGCACAAGCTGCAGGGCAGCACACACACTCAGTCTCCAAAAGCCACAAATATTCTTCACCTTCCAGAGGAGTTGCAGAGAACCACGTACGATGCTGCAGGGAAACAGACAGCCCGCTGGTTTACAGCCTACTGACCCACCAGCCAGCAGAGATCCAGGACTTTCCATGGTTCACAGCTTCTCTTTCCGAAGAGCTGTTTGTCTTCATTATTTTTTTTTGAGTCTTCCCCTGACAAGTACCCCACAGTACCCCACCTCCCTTAAAAAAAAACCCAACAGGTAACCATGACCCCAGGTCTACTGATGGAATTCTTGCAAGGTTTTGCTTCACCCT